GCAAAGACCGACCCGTTTCCCACGGACCCCGGCATCGCGCTCCCATCTGCAAGCACGACATTCGTGGCCGACACAAGATATTCGTCATGCTGAAACCCAATGAAAACTCACCAGGATTTGAGCTCGTGGGCGTCGTTGTTAAGCACGGAGGAAAAGAACCGGTAGGGCTGTCGGGCTAGATCTGGGCCGAATCGATGGGGAGATCCTTCCGCCTTCGTAGGAATAAGAGAGGAATACTCCGACGCAGGCGTCGGAGGCCGGCGGCGGGGCGACGGGTGTGGAAAGGGTTTGGGATTGGGCCCGCCGGAGGGTTAGGAGGAAGAAGGAGATGTTGATTTTGATTTTTGGAATATTAATTTGTAAATTAAATTAAGGTTGTGATGATTTTTGTACTTAAAAGAATTGTTATACATATAATATAAATACAAGGCCTTCAAAATAAATACAATTATTATTTTATAAGTTATAAATTTAAATTTTTAATTTTTAATGAATAAGGGTATTATAGGTTTTTGCAAGTACGAGGAGTACGAGACCAAGTACAAGGCGACCAACATTCTTTGTTTCCTTGTACCATCTTGTACCTTGAATCTAATGGTTGATGTTGATTTCTGAGGCAATCTAATGGTGATATCAAGAGGTACCTAATGTTAAGTAGGTACAAAGGGTATTTGACTGTAGAAGGTCCCTACTTGGTATGGTAAAAAAAAAAAAAAAATTGATGTTGCCTCAACATAAACATTGATTAGCATGATATATTGCAGAAATTCTATGGTGCCCATACGAGTACCATAAGTCATGTCACAATATGATGTGTCACATGAGGTGACATTTTTGTTGTTAATTATCAATTACATGGCATATATGATGTGCTTTTTTGAAGATTTAATCAATTAAGACAATAAAGAAATTTTTGAAAATCAATTTATATTTCCCAAATCCATTACATTTTGAACGGCCTTTGAAACCGTGTTCATCCCTATGGCATCTAGTGCAGCAAGAGAATCTGATATAGAGATTCTTGTCGGCCACAACACACTTAATGGAGCCTCCCAAAACGGATGGAGCTGTAGAACACAGGGGATAGGGTTTCAAAGTTGATTGGATCCTCGAGGAAGAACTTGATCCCTGTCGGAAATTTCTGCCCTCCACCGCCTCCTCTGCCGCCATTCGCCAATCTCACCCGCCTCATCACCCTCCACCTCTAAAACAACGAGATCTCCGACCCAATCTCTAATTTCCTCTCATCCCCTCCCCCAAATATCCGACCTCAACCTACCCAACAACGAGCTTTAGGAATTCCTCTCCAACAACTTGATTTCGAGGTTACGAATCGAGAAGCTTCGCCGGCAACCAAGCCCTATGCAGCGTAATTCTCCGTTTCCCCAACTGCTCGAACTATCCGCGGAGAACCATCCATAACGGTGTCGTCTAGCCCGAGCTCCCTCCCCCATCGCAGACCGCCGCGACCACCAACTCGTCCGAAAAGCACCGCAGAAAGCTCGAAAAGCGACGCTATAGTGGCTATAGCAGTGGCGAAACTGGTGCTGCCGTTGGGTTAGGTATTCGTTAATTGTCTTAATTGATTAAATCTTTAAAAAAACCACATCATATATATTATGAAGTTAATAATTAAAAGAAAAATGTCACATCTGACACATCATATTGTGGCATGGCTTATGGTACTCGTATGAGTACCATAAAATTTATGTACAAAATAATATATAATTTTTTTCTGTAATTGAACATATATGTACAAAATAATATAGTATAATTTTTTTCTGTAATTGAACATATAGACAAATACTGGTTTTATTTATTTATAATTTTATACATACAACTAGTCTATCTTCTTTTAATTAGCACCATCATATCAAATCAAAAGCATCTCTATCTCACCAATCCTTTTTCGAATCCCAAAACACGCTTGTCCAAAAAACCCTCTCTCAATCCCAATCCCAACCCCAACCAACATGTGCACCTTTGAGAAGCGCGGCCACATCTTCATCCTAACGCTCACCGGAACCACCAAAGCCGATCAGGAGCACCGCCTCAACCCGCCGCTCATCGCCTCCATTCGCGCGTCCCTCGCCGAGGCCAGATCCCAGGCCGCCGACGGATCCGTACTCATCACTCGATCCGAGGGCCGATTCTTTTCCAACGGCTTCGATCTGCGCCACGCCCAGGCCGTCGGCGCCAGATCCGGCTCCGCCGACGCCGCTAAGGCGGAGCTCCTCCGCATGGTGAATCTCTTCCGCGGCGTCGTCGCCGATCTCATCTCTCTCCCGATGCCGACCATCGCCGCTGTCCCCGGGCACGCCGCCGCCGCCGGTCTCGTGCTGGCGATGAGCCACGACTACGTGCTGATGACGTCTTCCAGGGGGGTGGCGTACATGAGCGAGCTGGACATAGGGATGACACTCCCGGATTATTTCTCGGCCCTGATACGGGCCAAGGTTGGCGCAGCGGCGGCGCGGCGGGAGCTGCTGCTGCGGGCGTCGAAGGTGGGGGCAAAGGCGGCGGCGGGGATGGGGATTGTGGACTCGGTGCACGATAGCGCGGAGGAGGTGGAGGAGGCGGCGGTGCGACTGGCGGAGGAGTTGGGGAAGAGGCTGTGGAGTGGGGACGCGTACGCTGGGATTAGGAAGTCTTTGTATCCGGAGGTTTGTGGTTTGTTGGGCCTGGAAGAGTCCACGGTGTTGCCTGCTAAACTTTGATGAACAAATGTGGAAAATTTGATAGTTGTGAGGATCTGATAATAAATATGGATTTGGTTTACGTGTGATTCTGGCAATGGCATCTTGACTTGAGGAACGATGTGATTAATTATTTACAAAATTGTTTGGAGTGGTGCCGTATAACCATATCAATATTTCGTTCATCTCTAAACGAAACGTATTTGGAAGTGAATTATTTTTGTTTCAATTTGAGTTTGATGGATGAAGTAAAGTTAATTTTGCAGAGTTAGAGAAGATGGGTTGGAGAGAAGGAAGAGATAATTGAAAATTAATACATCCTAAAAAAATAGGATCATGCTACATGTACCCCTTGGTGTACCACTTGGTTTACATCTAAGGGGTACATATACCTATTTACATCCAAGTTGGCCCCGGTACTGATTCCCTTGTGAGGGGCGTTTCTATTCTCCTATGGAGAGCGTTCTTAGTTGGCGTGTTGGTGTTTTTTAGTTTTTTAGTTGTGTGTAGTGAGTCCTCTATTCTAGCGTGGCTAGTGAGGTTCTAGGCGGTCTTTCGATCCGTCCTCTCAGTTTTTAGTTCTTGGGTGTATTATTCAGCCTTGGGCTGTTTGTTTTGCACAGTTGTTCGTTTTGATATATAATTCCTCTATCGTTTCAA